TATGTTTCTCATTCAGGATGTAAGAATGTATCTCAAGTCTCCACTCCTGTTCCTCAGGAATTCTTTTCTCTCTTTTGAAGTTGAGATGAGGCTTGCACTTCACCTGCGAGCACGCTGTGATAGATGATTCTCTGTGACTTTGGGTTTCATTATCAAGATGAAACCCAGTGTAATGAATTTTTGGCAAATTTTGAATTCGTGTAAGATAAAGTTTTTAAATCAATACTAAAACACGATAGCACATGCCTGTAGTGCCAGCTACTCCGGAGGCTGAGGCAGGAGGATTGCCATTTCCAGGCCAGGATGGGCAATTTAGCAAGAGCCTGTCTCAAAAAAATATAAAAGGGGCCAGGGACATAGCTCAGCGGCATATGCGCCTGCCTCTTGATTCCTTGTATGAAATGAAAACAGAAACATGAGAAAGGCTTATAAAAAATAAAAAAAGGTTGGATGTACGGCTCAGTGGTAGGGCACCCGCTTAGCGCATGAAGATCCTGGGTTTGATCCATAGTGCTGGAAGAGAGGTCACTGGCTGAAAAAAAAGAATTATTTTAAAGTGCAAACTACTACTGCTAACGTGATAGCTTAGGAAGCATTTCTGCCTGACATAACTGACTTCTATGATGACACACGAATGGGGTAAAACAGCCCTTTACTTCAGAACTTTTTTTTCCCCCTCAGCAAAGTAACAGCAACAACAGATTGCGCCACTGTGATTCCTTTCTAGCCGCAAGTCAGGCTTGCTCTGAAGGACCGGACCTCCTGCACAGGTCTGCCATCTGCTGGTGCTTCTGGGGCAGCACGGGTTTCAGATCATTTTAAATTAAAACCTTCCCTTTGGTGTAAGTAAACTGTCTGCAAAGCTTAAGGCCCCTTGAACGTGCTGCTTCTTGCTCTTCAGACCTGTAATATCTGCATCTCAATCTTTGAAACTCGCTTTCTGTTGCTATATCCTAAGGAGCCTATTCTAACACAAGACCTAAGACTCACTAGCAATTGAAAATAGTTTTCATTCCTTCCTGTCAAGGTGACAGGTTTCAGAATTGCACTGGGCACCTTCTAATTGAGGTGGAACCTGGGGAAAGGGAAATACTTTAGCTGGAGACAGAAAAACCCACAAAATTTCCTTAGGTTCTCAATTATGGGGGTGCGATACAGGGAGTTAGCGAGGAAGGTCCCTGGCGGCTCAGAGGTGGTTGAGAAGCAGTTCAGCAAGTGGCTGAAGCCCGTGACCTCCAGCTTCACGGCACTGTGGGCTCCTCCACCGCATCCGACCCTGAGAGCCCCTCCTCAGTCCTGACACACAGCTTGGCAAACCGAGGCTTGCAAACTGCTCCAGGTACAGGGGCTTTGCTCTACTGCATGGAGTCTTGTGCTCTCCTTTAAATCCAGAGACAAGAAGTGACTATTTTTAGAGCAAATAAGGAGTAAAATGAGATGATCTGGTGATATCCACCCTTCACACCCTTATGATTCTTTTAAAACTAGTCTTCAGGGAAGTGCTGTCAAATAGTGCAGAAAAACGGAGAACCGCGTTTGAAAACTAATGATGGTCCACAGCCCATTTTTATAGGATTCTTCTCAGAATTACCTTGTCAAGGAAAAATCTGTGGCTATTACTTTACTATTGAGGTTGTTTTCACTGCATCTTTCACATTTTCTTCCTTCTGCTCCATGGGGGGAGAAATACAGGAGCTGTGACAATGTTTGAAAACACTAAAATGATTGCTACACCGAGCTCCTTCTTGTCCAAAGGTCGGGACAGCAGCGCACGGGCCGGGCGTGGTGGCGCACACCTGTGATCCCAGCACTCCGCTCGCGGCAGGACGATCGCTGCGAGCTCCAGGTTGGCACCACCTGTGTAGACTCTGTCTCCCTGCCAGAAAGAAACCCATAACGAGGGCAACGTATTTGCTGAGGACTTCAAGAACTTTGAAAGCACGCTGGACACTTAACTCAGGAATACTACTCAATTCCAGTTGTTCAGGAATACTACTCACTTCACCCATGTGCACATACTTCCTATTTTCTTCCTGGGACAGGGATTCACTGTGCAGTTCAGGGTGGCCTTGAACTCACTTTGTAGTCCAGGCTGACCTCGATGCAGATGCAGTGATCCTCCTGTCTCAGACTCCTGAGTACTGGGATTAATAGGCATTCTGCCACCCCACAAAGCCCCTTTGCATATACTAATGAACAGGTATTTGTGGCCTAAATTTCACTTTCTTGTTAACAGTCCCTTCAGACAGGGCTTGTTTTCCCATTCACACTTGACAGTACTAAGACCCCCAAGGTGCCTCCCTCCCAGGCATGGTGATACACACCCGGAAGCCCAGTATCCTGGCAGGCTGAGGTAGTTACAAGTGTGAGCCCAAGTTCCAAAATGAAACGGAACAAAAACATGAGTCACAAAGCTAGTTAAGCTAGGAGTCAACACTAAAGACTGTATAGTACTTTTCAGAAACCAGGTGTCTCTTTTCCAGACTCTTAAGCCAATTTGTCTAATTGTTGTATTTATCCATTTTAAATCAATTTAACAGCCAGGGACATGGCTCAGCAGCACAGCACCTGCCTGCCAAGTGTGATGTTGAGTTCGATTCTTGGTACCAAAGGAAAAAAAATCAGTTTAAGCAGGTAGAAAAGCATGTTAATCTTTCTTAGCCCCACCTCTCACCTTCTAGCTCTTCTGATAAACGCCTTTCCCATGGTAACATACAAGCACATCTTTTGATTTTTGAATCACCTTTTGTGTGTTTGTGGTACTGGGGTGTGAACTCAAGGTCTTCATACTGAGTTACATCCACAGCACTTTTTGAGTAACTCTTTGAATAGTGGTTATTAGCAGACGTTACTTTTGGAGTCCCATTTTTTAAAAATAAGTCTCAGACAGGTGTGGTGCACGATGAAACGGGTAGGCTGAGACAGGACCAGGGTCCTTGAGCTCAGGCCACAAAGTGAGTTTGAGGCCACTGGAACTGTATAGTGAGGCTTGTTTAACAAATAGTCTTAGCTGGGTGTAGAAGTGCATACTTACATTAGCACTACGGGAAATGGAGACAGGAAACCACAGGTTCCAGATCATCCTGAGAAATTTCTTAAGACCCTGTCTCAAAACTAAGAGTTGGAGATTTACCTCAGTGCAAAAGTTGTAGTTCAATCCCTAATATCAAAAATAAAATTACGTATTTGTGTAGTTCTACCTCACTACTGGAAAAATATGGAACACAACATATTTAAGCAAGCCTCTCAGGTCACGTTGAAGATGAATTTTAAAAAGCTAAATATGTGATACGTGGTCATGACCAGCATCAAGACTAATAGTGCTCTGAAGCACACATTTTATGATTATAGTCTTGTACCACCATGCCCAACTCTCATCATCACTAAGGTCTTCACAGGAAAAATGAATTTGTGTATACCCCTTAGTAAACCCAAGTATTCTATAGTAACTTCACATGTATTTGGTCAATTAACTTTTCCAAGTCAAAGCAAAACTATATTAATGTGTCCACCTAAAGGGGCCAGCGAGATAGTTCAGTAGACTGAAGTGCAGGCCTGTGGTTGGTGCACCAGCACCACATGCCACACCAACCCCGGGTGGGCTGAGCTGGCCAGAGTCCAGGCTTAGTAGCATAAACCTGTAATCCCACAGCTGGGAAGGCTGAAAGCAGGAGGATCACCACGAGTCCAAGCTGCGTAGTGAGATCCTGTAACAACCAAATACATAAAAGAAAAAAATGTGTTCTACAACAATTCAATCTCATTGGATCTTTCAATTTTTAAATTTTTTCAAATGGATGTTTTTAAAAGGCAGGCATGGAGTTCACTGCTATACCTTCTAGTTAACTTAGCAACATGTTATTTGTAAATATACGTGAATAAATTCTTTTTCATATACTATATGCTAAGCCATAGCTGTCAGTGTCTAAGGCAATGATCTCACAGAAGTTAGGACTGGCAGAGTCAGTGTCACCTTCTCATCACATGGGAAGCTATCTCCAAAGGCATGAAGTACTGTGTATATTCAGAGATAAAAATCAGGATCACTGGACAAGATCAGTGGAAAATAAGCAGTGTTCCACCAATGCAAGACAAAATATACTTTATTTTGACAGTAAATGCACATAGTGCTATAGGTAAGGCATGCTACTAAGAATCTGCATATCAAAGGCTTGTATGAAAATCAATGGGAATGAATGCCGCTTGAAGATTCACTTTATGTCAAAGACAGAGTTTGTATCCATTTATTTCAAATGCAATGTTATACTATTTCTATTTAATCAGACAGCTATACCTCCAACCAAGTGCCCAAAAGCAAGTCACTTCTAGTAACAAATATGTCACCAGTTCAACTAAGGCATACTTCCTTTCTAAACAAAGACCTAGAAATTGAGCATGCAAATATCCATTCGTCTGAATAATGAGCCAATTTTACTGTCATTTATTCCACCAAAAGCAAATACTAGAATATGTAAAAGTAGTTTGGATAAAGAAACTATATTTAAATACTTTGCAGTGTTACAACTTTGGGGCTAAAATAATGCCCTGAGTCAAATTTGATCTCCTTCCACTAGAAGGTCCAAGTACAGCTCTGACTCCAATGGCTGGACTTCTAAGGGAAAGTTCGGAAAAATAATGCTGGCGACCAATTTAGTCCTTTGATGGAACTATCAGGCTCTCTAGACTTGTCAGAATCTGCACCATTGAGGCGGCAAAGCTGAGCCGCTTGGTACTGAGTATTTTTAGATGAACCACTTCATTTCCCCTCCTTCAAAGCAGATGCAAATTAAATGCTCTCTGCATGGATACACAGAGACATTCTGTCCAACTGCTTTCTAATGCAAGACTGTGGGTTTTAACAGCCTTATTTTTCACTTATACAAAGAATATCTTTATACATAAACCATTTAGCTTAAAAGATGAAAAGAAACAATTACTATGAAAATTACTTATCAATATTGTTCTTTTATAAGGTGTTTTTAAAAGCAACACGAGACCAAAAACATCCAACTATTATTTTATTTATATTACTATGCTTAAGTTACATGGAAAAAGACAACCAAGCAGTTCTTCCCCATTTCAGAAAGTTTCCAATCAACACCAATTATGTGGTGACCAGTAACTAGGAATGGTGGTATCTTTGGGTCAAGACTGACAAGGAAGAATGGGCTCTGGGGCTACGGTTCATCTCCAACAAGAATATGACACGCTGGCCAGCACAAGCCGTGCTACCACTGAGCCTTTAGCGCCGGGCACAGATTCGGATCTCTTCTCTGAAGCTAGCAAATTAAGTGAAATAACTGGGTTTTAAAAAAATGTTTTAAAATGAAGCTCAAATTAAGTTTAAAAACCATGCTCTTGACATATTCTCCATTCAAAATTTACATAAAACACACTTTTTCACTCTAATAGCCCAGATTTTTTTCCTCACGTAGCCCACCACGTAGCTGCAGGTAGACTTTTCTGCCTCACGATGTAAACATAGGGAAAAAAGTGAACAGCATCTGCATAATGCTCTCTCTACACGCTGCTGCTGGATGGAAAATACAAAATTAAAAAAAGAAAGAAAGAAAGGTTTCATCTCAGATTCTCACAACCTCTTGTTCCGCAGTTCATGAATCCGACTCTGATGCTAAGGTGACAGTGTATGTAAGTAGATTTTTGTTTTCAGTGAAGGAGACCTGGGAAAAGATGGATTTATCTCTTTTTCTTCAAGAATTATCAGATGGTACATGCTCTTCAAAGCCCTCACTCTCTCGAACTAGAGCACGTTCCAGGATCACACGGCCTTCTTTGTAACGCTGGCTGTCTTCAGTGGCAAACTCATAGATCCATCCCAGTTTGCTATTGCAGTTTTTGCAGCTCACATCTCGAACCATGTGGCGGCCAGTGAGCATGACCCGATCTTGAACTTCACTGTACTGCAGATTAACTACCTAAAAAATACATTAAAATCACAAAGGAATAAAAGTTATTTGCACCATATTAAAAGTACACCATATTATGATTAGCCTAACAGCAAATTTAGAAAATAGACGTTATTACCTTCATCAAACTGGCAATGCCCTCTTACCTGGAGGACAGGGGCAGTACTGGGACTTGAGGCTTCATACTGAGCTATATTTCTACTCTTCTTTTTCTACTTTGAGATAGGGTCTTGCTCAATTACTAAGTTGCCCAGGGCAGGCTCAAACATCCTCCTGCCTCAGCCTCCCAGAGTCCTGAGAATACAGGTGTAATTACAGGCAGGATTATACCTTGCTCTGAGAGGAAGTTTGGTCAACTGCTGGGACAAGTAAACATCTGGAAATTGCAGGATACAGGACATCTACTGGCATTATGCATACTGTACTAGCCCAGGCCACAGATTCATACATGCTAGTTACATTCCGTGTTGTAGTAAAGCAAGAGATTTGGACTAGAGCCCTAAAATGCAAGTCTGGGTCTAATAGCTACTATTCACTATTCAGTGATAAGTGCGAATAAGAGTTTTAATGTAAAAGAGCCCAATCATACCATGACTATTCCGTAAGAATTTGTCAAATTTGTTTCTGGAAACATACTGTATAAACAGGTTAAGATGAACTAAGCCTACTACAAATCACACACTACAATACAGTTTTCAAGTGAGTTCAAAGACAATGCAAGAAAGTGGGTTCTGAAACAACCTGTGAAGAATTCCCAAAGACTCTGAATGCCCACCATCCTCTACATGCTCACTTTTCTATAAAGGACCAGACAACACAGTCTGGGCTTTGAGTGCTCTGTAGGACTTTGTTGCAACTGTTTGACTTAGACATTACAGCAGAACCATAGCACCAGATGAGACACAAATCAACCGAGTATGGTTGTGTTTCAGGACACTTTATCTCCCAAAACAGGCAGCAACCCCAGCACAGCAGCATATGGACAGACACCAATACTGTCATGTCAGCAGCAGGAAGAGCACAATTTCTAGATCAGCTTGAGTAATTTAGTGAAAGATGGCCTCAAGATGAAATAGAGGCTCAATAGCAGAATGCCCCTAGGTGCTATGCCTTGCACTGCAATCAAAACAAGAACAGGCAGCCAGGCTGCTGGGGCCGGTCAACTTCTACTGTGTACCTAAATAAAGGTGAAGGGCAGCACATTACCAATTCTGAAAGCAAAGCTTCTTCTACATGCAACACAAAGGAGTGGCCACTTGGGAAAGTTTATCTGACCGTCTAGATACCTAGATTAGCTCTGTTCCTTAGTTTGAATTTTTGCCTTGTATACTGCACACTGGGAGGTCGAAGCATATCAACCAATCTCAAATCAGAAATTTCAAAACAAAAAAATTAGAAACTTCAGATGCAGGGAGACTGGACACATTTGAAAATCAGGAAATCCTTTTCCTGTTGGTAGACCTTTGTAACAACATAATTCATAATCAAAAAGACAGCTGTGAGTATAAATGGGAGCAAGAGAAGCTGCTTAGGTGCCCATTTCAACTGTCCATTTTTGAATGTCTCTTTTGTTTTTTGAGATCTTACTTATTTTTTGGGGTTTTTTTTTGAGTTCTTAAAATCACATTCTAGTAAAGCTTTCCAAAAGTCCGACAAGAAAGCCAATCAATAGTGAAGTCATATAGTCTTCAGCTTCATTCTGAATTTTCCTGGTTTTGCCAAGTTCTGAGGAGGTATTCTGGTATTGTCAAATATATACACTGAACCCATTTAACAATGAAACTTTTTCTCACTAACCTTGTTAAAAAGAAATGCTCTACCAGTGGCGCCTGTGAATCGAGTAGAGATGAGTTCTGAGCGGTTGGTCAGGATTGTATCACAGTTTGCACATGAAAACAGCCGAGTACCACCAATATGATCAAGGAAAATTCTGCCCATTTTGATAGCTGAAGTTCTAAAAACCTGAGAACAAATGAAAAAAGGTAAGAAATACACCATAATAAAACAACATGGGGCTGGTGAGATGGCTCAGTGGTCTAAAGCACCTACTTAGAGCAAACTAAGCCAAGCAAAGCACAGGGACCGCAGTTCAATCCCCCAGCACCACATGCCAGCCAGCCCCGCCCCCTGGTGGGCTGAGCTGGCCACACACACTAAATAAATAAATAAAAAATAAATAAAACAACATGTTAGCATCTGATCGGTGGGTGTCCTGGAGAGTCTCTGTTCTGTAGTATTCGTGATGTACCCTGAACAAAAGGATCCAAAGTTCATGCACCAAGCAAACAAACAGGCATATGCCAAGCTTTAGAAGCAGTGAGCCAATGAAGTAAGAAATGATTAAAAAAAAAAAAGACGAAGAAATGCTATCACTTCTTTTGGCTGGTGTGGGGAAAAAATGAAAGTGGAAAAGAAATGTTTATAAAGCACTAGCAGAGAGCCAAGACAAAAAAGTTCAGCATAGGCATTAACTATATGCTAAGAATACGTAATTTGAGAAAAGATTTGTGGGTTACAAGTAGGATGATAGGTTAAGAGCAGAGAAGGGACAATTTTTTTTTTTTTTTTTTTTTTTTTTGTATTTTAGGGAAGGGTCTACAGGGTGTTCAGGGACTCACTACTAGATTGAACACACAGTGATCCGCCTGTTTACAGCCTCCCAAGAGCTGGGATTATAGGCCTGCACCACCATGCCCAGTCTCAACTGCTGGTCTCAGCACGTACCAGGGGTAGGGTAAGCACTGCAGGCCCGGGGATCAAACCCCTGCTTTAATCCCTGAACTATTTGGCCGGCCCTGGGAAAGGACAATTTAGAACCAACATGAGAGGAGTCGGGTTTGAGAGAATGAGATAATGGCACTAATTTTATTAAGTTTGAGCCTAAAAATCTACAGTGTTTTAGGTACTTATTTTCCAAAGTATGACAACTATTGAAGGACCAGTGTGGTGGCACATTTTGTAATAACAGCACTTGAAAGGCTGAAGCAGGAGAATTTCTGAGTGTGAGGCAATCTCGAGTAGATAGTGGACACTGTCTCAAAAAAAAAAAAAAAAAATTGTGGAAGGTTGATAGCACCTGCTCTCAGATTATCCAAAGAAGTCTAAAATCGTTTATGGAAAGGACCAGGGAGAGAGGTCAATAGAATAAGTGCTTGCCTGGCAAGCACGGGATCCTGAGTTCAATCCCTGCTATTGCAAAAACAAGCAAATCAAAAAAGACAAAACAAAAAAAACTTTTTTTTTTTCCTTCTGATTCCTCAGCAGCCATGGCGCCCATGAAAAAGCTTGCGGCAAAGGGGGTTAAGAAAAAAAAAAAAAGCAACACGTCCTGAAGTTCACCCTTGATTGCACACATCCTGTAGAAGATGGAATCATGGATGCTGTCAATTTCAAGCAGTTTCTCCAGGAAAGAATCAAGGTGAATGGCAAAGCCAGGAATCTCGGTGGAGGGGTGGTCACCCTCAAAAGGAGCAAGAGCAAGATCACTGTGACTTCCAAGGTGGCTTTTTCCAAAAGGTATTTGAAATATCTCACCAAAAAATATTTGAAGAATAATCTGTGTGACTGGTTTGCGTAGTTGCTAGCAGCAAAGAGAATTATGAATTACATTACTTCCAGATTAACCAGGACGAAGAGGAGGAAGATGAGGATTAAAGCTCCTTCGTCTGGAATATTTTTTATGAGTTCTTAAATAAAACTTGGGAACCAAAAAAAAAAATGTTAATGGATCAAAAGTTACACAGTTGTTAAGTACAGAAAATTAGCTGAAATGTAGTTCTACCCAACTGCAAGTCCTCCATTCCCCTCTACCTCCTCTGCCATAAAGAGGATGCTCATTAAGAGCTGGCCAGAGAGCTCAGCAGACTAAAGTGCCTGCTTAGGCAGGCTCCGCAGGGAGCAGGGTTCGATTCCCAGTGTGCTGTGCTGGCCTGGCCCCACCCCCAGGGTGCACAGAGACAATGATCTGACAGGCGTGTGGCGCTTGCCAGCAATCCCAGCGCTTGGGAGACTAAAAACAGGAGGATCACTATGAGTCTGAGTCAGATCTGTGTAATGAGATCCTGTAAACCCTGTACTAAACAAACAAAAAGATGCTCAAGATGGTCTAAGCCTGGCATAAGGCAAAGCAGAAGGAAGAGAAGAACTTTCCCATTCTTTAAGAAAGTCTTACTGACGCAAGAAATCACAGAAACTAGGCCTGGTGGCTTAGGCCTGTAACTCTAGCACTCTGGAAGAATGAGGCAGAACAGTAACAAATCCCAGCCCAGCCTGGAAAATTCAGACATTTAGCAAGACCCTGTCTCAAACTTTTTAACAAATTAGGGTGGGGAAGAAAGAAAAGGGCTGGGGAGGTAGCCCAGTGTAAAGACCACGGGTTCAATCCCTCGTGCCAAAGGGAGAGGGGAAACCACAGAAATGCCAAAACACCAACAAACAGTTCTGAAGCAAACTTTTAAAACCAGGAAAATCACACTTCAGTATTTCAAAAGTTAGGAGAGTTAACAGATGTAACTCCTTAAAATAACTGCAATTAATTCTCTTAACTGTATTTTTAAAAAATCTAGATATAGTCAACACAGCTTGTATTTTTAAAATTATCCCTGGGTGCAGTTACCAGTTCTTGTGTTTAACAGTATAAGTATTTGGTAAAAGGACATTCACAACTGACATAGAAAAAAAAATTCTAGAATGCATAACATGTAAAAAAAAATCCAAAATCATCATAAATTTGGCAGACCAACATCACAAATTAAAAACTCCATTCACTTTTAAATCTATGAACTGCCCCAGCTACCAGACAGCCTTTGACATCAGAAGTGTTATTATCATAAAACATCATTATGACTCCCCTTAAACATTATGATGGGGAAGTCTAAAAAGGAATAAAAAAAAAAAAAAAACAAAAAAACAGATGGCAAATACAATTAACAACTTGCAGCTAGCACACTAACCAGCACTCTAACAGCCACAATGAGTAAACTCTGATCTAAATAGACTTACAGGATGATACTTAACTTATATTTCTGCAAAATAACAAAAGGTAATACTTATTATCTGTCTTATAACCTTTGAGATTCTAGCATTTCTTTTTCTACATAGTCAAGAAAGTCTTGGGGCTGGGGAGATGGCTCAGTGGAATAAGTTGCTTCCCTGGCCAGCGCAAGGGCCTGAGTTCAATCCTGGGTTCCACCAAAAAAAAAAAAAAAAGGTCTTCATTACATTTAAGATTGCAAATCAGAGGCATGTGGGCGGAATTCTTTAGGTAAACTAAGGAAACCGAGGTCAGCCAATTTGTGGCCTGTAATCACAGTACTGGGGAGGCTAAGGTAGGAAGACTGTAGAGTTGGAGGACACTGTGGGCTACATAGTGAACTCCAGGCCAGCCTGAATTATATAGTGATATATAGTGAGGCCCTGTCTCAAAAAAAAAATCCAAGTAGACACATTTTACTTGGTCACACAAGTTTTTGTTCTTAATTTTTTTCAAAAGGTCAGTTGATAAAATCTGGGTAAAAAGCCAGGGTTTTGAAATTCTCTTTAGTAATAAGGCAATTTAGCAACATGAGCCATGCACATAGTAATCTCTTAAAGCAACAAGAGACTACAGCTGAGCAGCAAAAACCCATCCCTTACCTTCACTGCACTGGCTCATTCTCTACTTAACCTGTTTGGTCCTTGAACCAGTATTTGGATTTACGACTCAATATAAATAAAAAAAATTAAAAAACCTATTAGCAGTTGATATGACCATGATTCTTTTTTTTTGGTAGAACCAGGATTGAATTCAGGCCCTTGCACTTGCCAGGGAAGCGCTTATTCTGAGCCACCTCTCCAGCCCCAAAAGGAATGAATCTATGTCACCTTCGTCCCGTCTCCTGGAACTGGGGATTGAACTCAGATCCTTGGCCTTGCCAGGAGAGTCATTTTCTACTGAGCTATCCTCCTGGCTCATGGCCATGATTCTTAATATTGACCATTAACAGCAAGAAAACGATAGCAAGGTTTTAATCTCAACTATTAAGGTATCATAATGAAGCAATAACCAGAAGCTTCTGCACTGCAGCAGAGACAATGCAACTGTCTCTGGAAAGCAATCTTGGAAAACTCAAAATGCACTTTGTACCTTCAACCTACATCTTTCTAGCCCTGGCTCAAAATTACGTTATGGCTGTGACTATTTGATACTAGAGTAAATAGTTAATATTCCTTCTTTTTCCTGCTTCAAAGTCTGTTTTGTAACTCTTTACTAAAATATTTTTTTAAATAGGATTCAATTATGTGACTCATTACCCAGACCAAAAATATCTGGGCAAAATTTTATGTTATACTATTTCTAGTTGTGGTTGCTATATATAGAGTACTATATATGTATTTTAAACTGTAAAATGTAGTTTTATGTTTGTCAAAAAAGATAAGCTAAAATGCCATGGAACCCAGCTAAGGCAAGTAAACATCATTTGCTATCAAGAGGTTTTTACGAAGTAGAAAAACCTCTGTGTGGTCACTGAGTTTGAGGACATGAGCCTTAGCTACCCAGAACTTCCAATTTCTATTTCATCAGGAGGGCCTGGTAAACGAATTAATTTTAGGTTCTCTAACAGAAAAAAAAAAAATTTACAAGGAAAGCCAACATTTTGGCCCTAGCCTTTTAAGGTCAATTAAGACTCAGGACATATGAGAACTTGTACTGTAACGTCATGTACCTCGGTAGTGTCCCAAATTTTCTGATCGAGAAGATTATGGGGCCAAAGAGGAAAGTGATCGATGACATAGAGTGGGCCTAAGGAGAGTCACATGGGGAGAAGATACTCTCTCAGGCTTTCACAGAGAGCACATTGGCCAAGCAATGGCCGTGACTCATCCACATGGCTGCACTGATAAAGGTTCTACAATCTGAGGTACAGGATCTCAGGACAAATCCTGAGGGCATTTCACTGACCTTCTCAGACCAAATAGCTACAACTCTTGCTGCATAGGTCCTGCTTTACCTTGGTCTTAACCATCCAGCAGAAAAGTATGAAGACGAAATTATAAGAAATAAAGCCATGCTGTTAAGTTGAGCTGTGGGGGACTCAGGTCAATAATTTCTGACATTGCCAGTTAAACAGAAGACCCAATGCTATTATGGGCTACTGGACTCTTTTAAAATATTTTGCTGAGTTTACACACCTATAATATTCAATAACGGAACTTAGAAAAAATGGGGTATACAGATGAATGTCCATTTTGTATCTGTGTATTCAAAGTGGTTGGGATAGATATATAGTTACATTCTGTTAATGAATAGAATGATTTGTTCTAATGAAGTTTGTAAATAGGATCACAAGTCCGCATCTTATACAGCAATTAACCACTAAGAATAATATATGCAGTGTATTATTTGTTGAAAAATAAAAAAAAAAAAAAAAAAGAAAAAAAAAATTGCTTTCAGGAATCCATAAAGACAGGTTTCAGAAATGCATTATATAATTTCCTAGACTGTCTGCAGGTCAACAAAACCATTTTCTTTTTTGAAAACCCTTATTGTTTTTTATGTATACACTAACAAATGAAATATGGTATTTTGTTTTTCAGCTTAACTCTTAAGTATTTTCCTTAAAAAAGAGGAGGAGGGGAGGTTCAGCAAACAGGCCTTTGGACCAAATCTAGCTCACCTGTTTGGTACCCACATAACTCACAGTAAAGTGTGTACTTATAAATGGTTGAAAAACAAATAACAAAAAGAATATTTTGGGGGCTGGCGAGATGGCTCAGTGGTCTAAAGCACCTACTTGGAACAGGCTTGGGAAAGCACAAGGACTGTGGTTCGATCCCCCAGCACCACATGCCAGCCAGCCGTGCCCCCTGGTGGGCTGAGCTGGTCTCACACACACACACACACACACACACAAATAAATTTTTTTTTAAAAAAAGAATATTTTGTAACACACGAACATTATGTAAAATCCAAATTCAGAGGTGATAGAGAAAGTTATTTAGGAACATAGTCACACCCATTTGTTTACACTCAGGTCATATCTCACTGGAATGGCTGAGTTTGTGTAGTTGGTACACAAACTACTACTCTGTCCAACAAATTCAAAATATTTACAAGGAAAAGAATGTGTTATGTAATATCAATCCCCATGAATGTAATCATTATGTACTACAAACATGTATTAATTAAAAAATAAAATTTAGAAAAATATTTTCTTGCTTACAAACACTCATGTGGTGCATGCCTATAATCTCTGCACTAAGGTGGCTGAGGCACAAAAATTACAAGCTGGAGGCCAGCCTAGGCTATGCCTGTGTTCAGTGACAGCTTGAACTACCCCCAGAAAATAATTACTTTTAAACAACCACCACCAACAAAACTCACCCATTTGGAAAGCAATCTTTTTCAGTAAAACTGAAACCTACTCATCAGTAAGGTTAGTCATATCAGGAAATTTACAGCCAGGTCAATACGAATATATAGTTTATTACTATTTCCCTTTTTTCATGGGTTTTCTAGACAAAAAAAAATCCTTAACTTTTTTCATCAGCTCAATGTCAAAGGTCAAGTAAAACAATACAGATATCAAAACAGATGGGACCACCTCTCTCTCTAGGGACTTAAGAGTAGCCTGGATATTTAACTCTGGGGTCAGACTCCCTCCCTTCTAATCTCATTCCCCTCACCTCCAATCCCACCCCAAGCCCTAAATTTTGGGCAAATGATCCTCTGCTCCTTCATCTGTGAAATTGCAAGAGCAATATATATTTGGGGATAATGAAAATTAAATAAAATACTATGTTCTGAGAACACTACTTGACACAGTGAATGCAAAATAAAGGCCAGTAAAACCAATTGCCTTCTTCAATATACCCCATCCCAACTTCCCCCATCATTGATGTGGGAAAAAAGCTCCTCAAGGATTTAAACAGTAACAATGAACTGGTTTCGCCTTTTGTTAATTACAGCAATGTTAACTAGGTTATAGGAATTACCAGGAGGAAAGCTAGAAACCTTCCGAAGCATCTCAAATTCCTAGTGTCACAGTTCTTGCTTCTTAAAATAGATACTTGCCCTCTCTATAATTAATAATCCCATTTGGTTTCAACCCTGGCAACTAGAATCAGCCAATGAAGACAGCAATTCCCAGTTCTAAAAATAGTACCATGAAAGACAATAGATATTCCTTTGCATCTCTTGGGGCCATCGAAAAACATCTAGTTCACTGATAAGGCTTTCCTTTAGTAAAGGAATTATCCCCTCAGGGGATTTCCACTAACACCACACTCAGAGGAGCTCCCTAAGAGAGCCAAGAGGGGCTTTCCATTGCACCAGAGGGGTATAAGCAAAAGGAGCAAAGCCTAGAGCAGGAAGCTTAATAAGCAGAAGCTTAGGGCAGAAAGGGTTAAAGCCCCTTTCAAGAGGTGGTTTTGTTTTTCAGATTCTATTTAAAAGGGAGTGGAGATGAAGCAAGAGTGTATCTGTTTTTCAGTTGTCTCCTCTAAAAGGAACAAAAATCCAAACACTTTTTAATGTATTGGGTTAATTACTATAGCAAAAATTTTTGCTATTTCATTAACTATTTTCTAAGTGACTTGTAACTAAAGTGTATCTGAAAATTAGAAAATAGAAAATAAAGAATTTAATCCATAAAGACTATTTTCCAATTTTTGTAAAAAATATTTACCAAGCCAGAGTTTCAGGGCACCAGAAAGCCATGTCACCTCTTGCAATACCAGAAGTTTACTTCACTAGGTCAAACGATGTCTGTTTGTGAGATCAAGTCATTTCACAGCAATTTTTGGTTTTGTTCTTCCCCCAAAATATGCTTGTTAAACAATTTCTAAGTTTACTATATTCTCTATTGTTAAAATCATCAGGCAACAAGAACAGTCACATAACTCAACGTCATGAGTCAGGCAACAATCTGAGTTGGTAATCTCCCCAAAAACCTCTTGGCAAGACAAACTGATGCAATTCTGAAAGCTTCTAATTGGATGAACTGGAGTAAAATTCAACTGTTGGGTTTCCTAATTCAGGTGTCAAATACAAATCCATTTATGGCTAAAAAGTAAGCTAAATGCACACTACAAGATTACCAAGAAAAAAGAAAACTAGTACATTTCCACAGCTACTGAAGTGCTACCAGACAGGTTATTCTGGGCACAAATATCCTTCAGACTGTCTTCAGATCCCATGACTGTACTGTGAACTAGCTTCATGTCCCAGAGTGTTTTTGAAATAGCAGCAAGTGGTTTCTTGAGTTTTGTTGTGTGTGCTAAAGATCAAGCTCAGGGCCTTTAGGCAAGCAATCTACCACTGAGCAAGACCTCCAGCCTAAGTAACAAATTTAATTTCTTTTCACAGAATTTTTTTCCTTCTATTTAAATGGGGAACAGAAAAAGACAAGTCTAGGTAAAAATGCTGAAGAATTCAATGGGATAATATTATTTTAAAAGACTATACATTTTACTAACCTTGTTTAGAAAGTTACTATTAAAATCTAATTTGCTTCCCTATACAGATCACTAAGCACATTTCATCATGTTCTTTTTCCTATAGCAAAGGTTGCTAGAGATTTTTTTCAAGTCTGTACTGCAACAGACAAGGGTGTTAAAAAGGCAAATAGTTCCTTCCAAAGAATGTTTTATTTGATGTTCCAGTACATACCTAGAAAGTACTTGAACAATAAACATTTTACGACAACATTCCAACAAAACCTGGCATGGTGGTGCACTGCTGTAATCCCAGTATTGGGGAGGCTGAGCAAGGAAGATCTCCCTGAGTTCATGGCTAGTTTGTATTACATATTGAGACCCTGCCAAAAGAAAGTGAAGAAAAGACACTCACATCTGGCACAAATATGTACTCTGGAAGCACTGCCTACTTTTTGCCTCTGTAGGTGGAATGTAAGCTGCAACCCCATATATGGCTCTACAAAATTAGCTGATACACGTCCTATTACCCGACTTACACCAGTAAATCTAATTTTTCAAAAACACAAGGTTAGCCAGAGGTTGCTTCAAGTTTTCCGTCTGTCAAGGAGACCTGGAATAAAAATCGTCAAATCACCAACACAGCTCTCAAAACTGAAAAATGTAAAAATAAATGAGCTACACATCTTGCTGTGACTCCACAAATGAGGATTAGTCGATGTCAGGATAAAACAGGTCTTCGTAGTATTTCACTTTCGCTCTTCCGCTGGTCATAATACTCCTTCGCTCCACCTACCAGCACTTGAGAGCACAATAAAGGGGATTCAAGCACACGCCTATCCTCCCAGCCGCGAGGGGCACGCAGGACCCCGGTTGGGCTGGCAGCCGCCCGCAGAGGGACCCGCGAGGCCCAGCCGCGCATCCGGCCCAGCTGATCGTGGCCACGTGACTCCCGCCTGCCAATCAGGAGGCCCGAGACAGCGAGCGCGGCGGCGGCGGGGCCTTCCCGGCACAACAAACACGGGCAGAACAGCTGGGCGGACGCGGGCTCTCGGGCCGCAGAGCCTGCAGGCCGCCCAGCAGCTGCCCCACGGCAAGGCGTCAGTGAGGCCAGGGTGGAGGACGCGCGCCCCGCGGCGCTGAACGCCGACACGCTCCCTCCCCTCGCAGGCAGAGCTCCTCGGACCCAACAAGGGGCGCGTCCCCGGCGTCACCCCCACCCAACAACTCGGCGCCGAGCCCGGATCCCAGGACGGGCCAGGCGGGGACGGCCCCGGCGCAGGCCTGCAGGCCCACCCCGAGCGGGGCCCGGGCGCGCCCCCGACGCTGCGGCGGTCACGGCGGCCCGCGAAGAGGCTGGGGGAGGGGCCCTCCGGGCAAACCGTCGGGGAGGCCGCCGGGGCCTCCGATCCGGGCGGGAGCCAGGCTTGGCGACCCGGACGCCGGCTGTTGTGGTCGCGGCGGGGGCGGGCCCACAGCAGCCGCCGCGCCAGGACCTCACAAAGAGGAGCGGCCGCCCTTCCACCACAGCCCCGCGCCAGGAATCGCCCGAAGGGTCGGGGGCGGCAGCGCTGGGACCCCGGGGGGCTGCGGAGGGAAGAGGTACTTCCTGCCTGGGCCCCCGCCCCAGCCGCTTCCGAGGGCTTCGAAGCCGCCGGGCCCAGAAGGCCCCTCGGTCCCCACCAGCCTTGTCCCTGTTCCCCGCCGCCACACTCACCCTGAACGGCGATGAGATGCTTGCTGTCTGCAGCTCTTCGCTCTACAGCTGGGACGAAGCCCCTAAGCCACCAGACTCCAGTTTAGTCAGGCCCGGACTTGGCCCCGCCTTCCTCTGGTTAGACCTCTGCGTCAATCACTCGGCGTGGCTCCGCCCACGTGCAGTCGGGTCTCCTGGTTGGCTCAGGATGCCCTTCACTTCTAGGCCCCGCCCCTTTCATAGGACCCCGCCCCTCCCCCGGCTCACCCTCCCCCCACACCCTCTCCTCTCCGCCTGGGGGCCCACCCCTCCTTGAAGCCTCCGCCGGGGGCCTGCTCGCTGAAATTTGCCCCGCCCCTGACCCAACACCTCGGGCCGTACAGCCAATCAAAGAGTCTAACTCTGGCCTCTCTCCCGAGGTGACCAATGGGTGAGACGGAGGATCCACTCCCTCCCAGCTGAGAGCGCACAACACATTGTCCACGTGAGTCAGCCTCTTAAAGGAGCCCCCTCCGCCTCGCTAATTGCAGCAGCTGGGACTCATTGGGCGGTCATCCGCGTCAGCAGGTGGCAGCTGAGGCCTAGCTTCCGGCTGTCCAATGGGGCCCGGTGATGACAAATGAAAACAACAGGCTGTTTTCTAGACAACCAGGTACCTAGGTGGTTGAAATGCACCATGTCATTTCCTTAGAGCACTTCCTCTGGTCACACCTTAGCGAGGGCTGTTTTATAAAGGCCAAATCCTTTGAGTCTGCGCCCATAGGAACTCCTGAGAAACATCTGTGGAAAAGGGTTTTTCAGGTGTGCTCAACTTTTTATTTAGACCTCCCTGCGTTTTCTCTTGGTTAGGGAAGTAATTCTCAAGAAACATGAAGAAAATTCATGAGCCAGGCATGGTGGCACAGGCCAGTCATCCCAGCAGTCTAGGAGGGTGAGGTGAGAGGATGGAAAGTTCAAGCCCAGCCTGGGTAATTTAGTGAGACCTTGTCTCGAAATTTAATAAATAAAGGGCTGGGGGTAGTGATGGGGAAAAAAATGAGAAAATTGAACATCTACTGTGGAGATTTTCTGCCTTATATATAAGTCTGAAATTTGTCAGAAGAGTAACTGTTCCTTTAACCCTAACCAACGCTTAAAATACAAGGTTGTGTTTCCCATTCCGTTTGAATTTCCCAGGCAGTTACATCTCTATTGGCTGCTTTTGAAAAGATAACACAAAAATACGATGTTTATTTTTTGTGAAAAATATCAACTAGCACTTGGGGTGAATTTGCAAGTTTCCTGTGATAGAGTTTCTGCAGGGAGTCCTAGCGCTTGACTCCTCATCCAGCCTGATTGTTTGTCTTTCTTTTCTTCTTTTTTATTCTTTGGATGGAAATTGAGCTTGTCAGGCAGATGCCGTGCCACTGAGCTAAATCCCCTGCCCTGTCTTGTTTTTGAGACAAGGTCTCTTCACAATTCAGACTGGCCTTAAACTTACTAGCTAGCCCAGTTGGCCTGCAACTCTCAGTGATTCTCCTGCCTCCGCCTCCAGAGTGCTGGGATTACAGGAAGGCACCACCTTGTGGCGCTCAGCAACCCTGTTACACAAGTGTTTTCATTCAGTTCCCGTAAAACTAAAATGAACATCAAAGGTAAAAGAACTAAATCGTAGTAAGTGAATGTTCTAAAACGATTAAAAGCATTTTGTTTTTTCTTCCTGTTTATTCTTTTGTTTTTATTCCGCTTTAATGATAGGAGCCACATGTTTATTGCAGGAAGTCATGCTGCCTCCTTTCCTGGGGGTCACTTGGACTTTGCTGACAGCTTCATGTATATCCTTCAGTTCTTCCTAAAGCGAATGTGCACGGGAACATATTGCGCTTGTGCTTTTCAACATCATAGTATGAAACTATGGAGACAAACAGAAATTTAAAGATGTCTTTTCTCCATAGTTTCTTTTACCTACAACTTTACATTTGTCTCCATAGCTGCATGTACTATATGGTTACCACAGGACCTTTTTTCTTCTGATAAACATGCACCGTGCTACCTTAACTCATTTACTATGAAAAAGACTGAAAAAAAAGAAAAATGAAAGGTACTGTCATGAACCCTCCTGTTCATTGGAAAACTCAAGTATTTCTGAGTTTAATCATTTTAAAAGGAAATATAAGGCCAATATGGATGGAAAGGAGAATTTTAAGCACCAGGTAAAACAACGGGGATGTTATTTATTTAACAAATGTATATAAAGTACTTTCTGTCCTGTTTTAAAATTTTAACTATTTTCCAGGGGTGGTAGTAGGGACTTACAATTCCAGAACTTGGGAGACTGAGGCCAGCATTAGCCATACAGTGAGTTCAAGGCCAGCGTTGACTACAGAAATGAGCCCCTATATCAAAAAGAAAACAAAAATAATTATTATAATAGTTAACTGCCTTAATTTTGACAACTCTGAGGTCAGTACTGTTGTCACCCCTGTTTTATACACAAGTTAACTAAAGCACAATGATTAACTTGTTAAGGCCACCCATAACATTACCGATTTTTTTTTATTTTTTTTTTTAATGTGTTTGGTACAGGGTCTCACTACAAAGTTCAAACTTGTAGTGATTCTCCTGTTTTAGGCTTCCCAGTGCTGGGATTATAGGCGTGTGTCACCACATTCCGATCTTGGTGGCCTGCTCAGTGCACCTGGGGGCAGGGCTGTTGTGCCCAGATTGAACCCCAGTCCCTGTGCTTGCCTGAGCAGGTGCTTAGTCTGCTGAGCTATCTTGCTGTTCCAGAGTATGATTTTTGTCCACATGGAAGAAGATGATACAATTATGTTTTAAAATGATTGGTTTAGATGTAGTGTGTAAGGAGTTCAAGTATGAGAGTAAGGAAGGCAGATAGAAATGGAACTGAAGAGACAGGTTTAATTTTAACAAGAATGGCTACAGGCCAGGCTTGATGGCACATGCCTGTAATCCCAGTGCTCTGGGAGGTTGAGACCAAAGGATCACAGTTTAGCACCTCAGAGACCCTGTGGCAAGTTAAAAAAAAGTGCTGACAGTGCAGCTCACTGTGAAAGCTCTGGATTATCATCAACACCATAAGAACAAATAAATAAAGACAGACTGACTACACTGCCCTATTTATAGGTAGACTGAGGACACAACAGGATTTTCAAAATTTCAAAGATAAGCTAGAGGCTTTATCTAAGAGACTGTAGGGTGATGGTTTCCCGTTGCTAAATATAGGTATTTGCAAATGCTGATTAGGGTGAAAAATTCAGGTAGACAATAGCACACCAACTAGAAATAAAAATATACAATCAAAATTAATATAACAAATATAGAAAATTAAATGAGAAGATAAGGACAGAATGTTTGTAAATTACTCTATAGGCCTTTGATTGTATTGTAACTTGAAATAAATTGATATTGTATCAGAACCTTATAGCACTAAGACTTTCCTAGAAAGAACATGATGGCGTTTCTCCAATTTCTCTACTATTTTTTTTTAGTGCCTTTCAGTAAAATTGTATGGTATAGCTGTCTTCCTTGAGACTGCTAATGTTTCATTTCTAGAGATATATTTAGGTTTTATAGTTTGGGGTTTTTTTAGGTTGTTATGGCTGAATTGTGACACTGCCCCCAACATACATTGAAATCCTCTCAGAAACTCAGAATTTGACTGAATTTGGAGGTGGGACCTTTACAAGTAGATTAAAGGTGTCTGCTGATCCAGTCTGACTGCTGTCCTTGGAGAAGGGGATTAGGAAGGGCCCACAGAGATACAAGATGCTGCACACAGAATGAAGGCCCTGTGAGCTGCCCTGGGAAGGCAGGCACCTGCAGGCCCAGGAAGGGCTGCAGCAGACACTGCCCTGCCCGCCTCTTGCTTTTGCCCTCCCAGCCTCCAGAATTGTGAGAAGATACTCTTCTGTTTAAGCCTTCCATTTGATGGTATTTTATTATGGCAGCCTAAGCAAAGTATAATGCAGGGGGTTATTTCTGTACATGGGAACTTCCCATATTATGTAACTCCAACTTATCATTTGTCTAGTAGGAAGGGTAATGATTTTGTTGCTTATTTTTCTGGATCAGAAATTTTCCTTATCTATAAGTGATGGTAAGTTTGTCTACCTACTTTTCTTTTGTGGTCAGTTCAGCCCACCTTGGGGGCATGACATGTGGTGCCTGGGATCAAACCATGGTCCCTGCACTTCGCCTAAGCTTGCCTTAGCAGGTGCTTTAAACTGGTGAACTATCTTGCCAGCCCCTTTGTGATGTTTCTTCAAAAAAACTAAAGAATGGGTATGTAATTCATGAAATACCATTTTAGTACCTGCTGCTCTAACCATACTGCTCTAACCATGTTTTCTCTCCTTATTCTATTGGGGATTTATTACAGAAGCCCATACATTACATCAGACCGTTTTTGCATTTGTCCATCATTGATGTATTCTGTGAGTGCACAGAATCACAAACAGGTGTGTACTGCTGCACTCCCACATGCCCTGGTTCTTCACTCTGAGTGTTAAACTATACTTCCTGTCTGAAGTTGTCTGCTATGTCACATAGAAAACTTCATGGTGTGTATTTGTTTTGTTTGTTTGCAGTAGTGGGAATTGAACCCAGGGCCTTTGCACTGAGTTACATCCTCACCCCTTTTTTGTACCATTTTTAAATTTTAAGACACATTCTCCCCAAGTCACAAGTTGCCTAGGCAGGGTTGAATTTTTGATCCCTGTTCCTCAGCCTCCCAGAGTCCTAGGCTTGTACGAAACATTGAGCTAGATGATTTTAATATCTGCAAACTTTGAGTCAGGCCTTCTAAGTGCCCTTCTGACAGTGTTTGTATGGACCCCTCCTCCACTCAGGAGTTCTTTTTCTTTCCCTGAATTTTTCTTTCACACAGGATCTTCTCCTGTAGAGGTGATGCTACCACCTTTTGTTACACAGTATAGGCAGGCAGCCTTTGTTTATTGACACAGGGGTGTTTCCCAGGCTAGCTTTGAACCCAAGGTCCTCCTTTGAACTCAAGATCCTCAGTTTCTGGTGTTCTGGGATTGTAGACATGAGCCACCATGACCAGCTTCAGCCTTTTATCTCTTTTGCCTTTTATTTGCTGTTAGTTTTTGCTTGCCTTCTCATACTTCATGCAGCTTAGTAAATTCCCAGTAAGCTTCTCCAGTTCTGAAATTCTGGGGCCTCTACCCCCTGTGTCTTTGTAGATTGAAAACTATTGAAAATGAGTTATGTGTGTCTCCTTCAGCATTTCTGAATGGGACCCACATTTTCTCATACATTTACTGAGGCCCTAGGACTGTCATTCCCATCTTGATCTATTGATGAACCATAAATGCTAGGAGCACTATCATCTGTGTCTTTTTTAAACTTGTTAAAGAAAAGTTACAAGGGCAATGTCTTGGATGAGGCTGTTGCAGTAGGCCTCAACAGACCGGACTAAAATTAAAAATGGAGTCACTCCTGCCAAAATTTTATATCACTGAACTTAGACTAAGTTGTTTATCTGAATGTCTCCCAAAATCAGGGATAGAAAGGCAATGGCCCAGTTTCTCAAATAATCCAATTTTAGTTGGTACAACGATGAAGTTCTTTCTGCCTTAATCTTTACATTAAAAGGGTAACCTGAAGTGGCCCTGTTGTTTATCTATTGTT